ACCTTTGTAACTGAGTAAACAAGTGATAAACACGTTGTCGAGGCAACTAATAAACCAATAGGGAGACAGGTGTGACTTTCCACATCTTATATTTACAAGCAGACACTGGCAGACTACTCAAGCCGTGAAAAAAACTGGATATTTGTAACTACGAAAGGTTAGATTTAAGTATAATTACAAAACATTTGGGAAAACCAAAACACTTGACACTGAAAGTATTATGTTTGAGATTTTTACACAAGTTACTGCATGTACAAGTCACAATTCAGAGAGAGAGGAAAAACCTCACAATGGTATCTTCCAAGTTGTTGTTTTGTTGAATTTGCTCATCATAGATTTTGTTTCTAATAATTTAAGATATCGGCTGGAAAACATAATGAAGAATAATTACAAAATCGAATTTGTTTTTTGACAATTATAAATGTTGATATAGGTGCTTGAACCTTTATAATTAAAATAGTAATGTGCTTGCGTGCGTGGCAAGCTTTTAAAACTTCTTTAAACTATGCAAAAATGAAATTAGGAGTAGGGAAGTACGGACGACGTCACCATATGCGTCACAGTAGTCACACACATGGCAATTCTTCCTTTGTACAACAAATCAAACAAATGTTTTCGACAATAACTTCCAAAATTTATACTTTTACAGTTTTATTACTTTTAATGTCTTAATTCTTAATGGTCAAAAAACTGTATTTGCTCCCTGACTGTAAACAAGCTCTAACCACACTGAATTGCGTGGCAACAAACTTATAACCAAAACCCAAACTAAGGATGGATGGTGATGTTGTCTTACAAATAAGCAAAAATAAGAATCCAAACATTTACTTTCAAAAAAACTATAATTCGGCTCCTACAGTGATTTTCTAATCAGTTTTAAAAAAATGTCCTTATTCTTTATTTTATATTAACAGTACAGAAAACCACGTATTTACAATTAGACCCTTTTGTTCACACAATGTTATTTAAGATTTACAGCAGTGAAATAATGGACATAATTCATTTAACTTCAAAACTATATATTTAGCTTGTTATAGCCATGATTCTTGTTTCTCCTTCCTTATCACCAGTGACCAACTAACAGCCTGTCTGTGTTTCAAACACTACACGCAAGCTGAGCCAATACTGGGACAGCTGCAATATTACGCGAGTTTCCGCATGGTCGTAGTACAGACTTCGTTTGTCGTGACAACTGTATTTAAGTAAAAATAATTTAGAGGAAAATACTTAAGTCGAACCTGTCTTTCAAAAAGTGGGTGGGACATGTCAGCCTCATCTCCCCTGTAAACTAAACCCATGCTTCAAACTAGTTTTGACAATTTCCATCATCATGGGCTACTTATTAATCGAAACTTCTTAAAATAAAGAAGAATATATATAATAATATGTCACTCGCACTGTCTCTTTTTATATCGAGTGCTGACGTGTTCATCTGGGATATAACACACTTAAGAGTAGTTGAAACAGTATTTATATTGTTTGTTTGTGGTTAATCACAAAGCTACACAATGTGCTAGCTATGCCGTGCCCACCTCGGCTATCCATACCCAGTTTTTAGAGTTAAAAACCTTCAGATTTACAGCTACCTCTGGGGAACACCATTTATATCAGGAAATTGTTCGACAGCAACTATTACAGTGTGAATTGGATTAAGTTGGCGAAGTGCGGTTTTCATAAGTGTTTATTTATGTCACAACAAAGCAGGTTAGGATAAGAATTTTTAACACCACATATTATTATTATACTGAATTCATTAACCTTTTCATTGTTAAAAAAAACTGGCAAACCAGTTCTTGATCACGCGGACGTCATAGTACTAATTCTAAATAAAGAAGATATATTGTTCCAGAAAAGGGCCGCGAGTGCTCTAGTGATTAGTGTACTCGGATTGTAAACCCGAGGATTCGTGATTTGTGTTGCTGTACTTTGGGCTCGTGGGTTTTGTTTTGTTTTTGAATTTCGCGCAAAGCTACACGAGGGCTTTTTGCGCTAGCCGTCCCTAATTTAGCAGTGTAAAACTAGAGGGAAGACAGCTAGTCATCACTACCCACTTGGGCTACTCTTTTACCAACGAATAGTGGGATTGACCGTCACATTATAACGCCCCACGGCTGAAAGGGCGAGCATGTTTGGTGTGACGGGGATTCGAACCCGCGACCCTCAGATTGCGAGTCGAGTCCCCTAACCACCTGGCCATGCCGGGCCGAGGGGGGTCGTGGGTGCTCTATAGTAGTGACTTTCAAATCTCATTGTTCAGTGAAGTAGAATAGCTCAAATGTTGGCAGTGGGTACAGTCGATTAACTGCCTTCCTTCTATTCTATTAGTTTAAAATTAGGGACTACTATGCATATGTAGCTCTTGTGTAGTTTTGGGCTAAAATTGTGCTAAAATTCTAAAAATAAACAATCAAACAGTAGTCCGAATTTTAGATTTTAACGTGCATTTCTTGAAAGTTTTTTTTTTCCTCAAGTGTTATTACATATATATTCATTGAGAAGACGGTTGAAAAGCTTAATTAAACATAAAATATAAAAATATAAGATATCAAAAAATTAGATTTATCCACCCCTTTTGTTGTTCTTGTTCAGATTAAAAATAATAACAAAATGGTATTTT